GGTGAAGTAGTCCTCGTTTAGGATACTAAAACGCGTGGAGCATCGTGGACGCGTTTTTATCGAGCTCATCTCAGAGATGTTACATCTCTTTAGATGTTACGTCGTTAGATCTTTGAGAGCATTGAGGTTGTTACGTGATTCTTTCTGTGTAGGTGATCTGCTGCATTATTATTTGAAATATTTCTCTAATTAAATTTACAGAAATAGGAGATGTATTTGAAGAATATAATAAAAATTAAATTAATGTTTTTGACGGTATGAATGTTGTAAAAGCTTTATTTACTGTTATTAGTCGATTATTAATTTCGTTATAACTAGACTGATCTTTATGGATTTATAAGAAATTTAAATGTGCTATTTAGGTTCGATTTTTTTAGGCACGTTCGCAAAGATTTTATTTTGCATAAAGATCCGCAGTCTAGTTATAACAAATATTTACTAAAGAAAATTGACCAGAAGATCATAATTCGTGAGCAATTATTATTATATGACCAATTATTATTATATGACCAATTATTCCTAATTTAAAAAATGATGATCAGTTTTGGGGGTGTCTGAAATTTAGGGATGTATTAGGGGAATAATACTGAAAATAAAAATGAGGATTAGAACCTGGTTCGCTATTGATTTCCTTGGAATTTTTTTACCGAGTAGAATTCACAACATTTAACACGTTGGTTGCCACGTCACCCAGAAATGGATAACAGCAGCTTCTCATTAGGAAGCTATTCGAATTAATTTCGAAGGTCGGACGCTAGCAAAAATAAGTCTGCAATGAATTCAGTGAGGTTAAAAAGTAAATAATAGAACAATTGATAAATTGTATCTAATCTTCAATAGTCTCGAGACAAAATTCTTGGTGACAACTTTCTCTTTTGAAATTTTCAGGAGTTTTAGTCCGGCAGCGAGCGTGTTAAAAAAGACTATTTTACTATAAACGAAATGTTGGATGAACTTTGCCTTCTACTCACCCTTCCAAACGTCGACACTTTTCGTTAAAATAAAGCGCAATTTTTTTTATCCTCTTTTTACCGATGGACGAGTGGTGAGAACGAATGGTAGAAGATTGGAGGAAGTGAAAATAAAGATGGCGTCGGGGAAGAATTTGACAGAGGGAAGGTGACGGGATTGACAAGGACGAAGGCGGGAGGACGAAATTGGGAAGATGGCGGAAGGGAGGAGGGGATGGGATCGTAATTTCGCGTGAATTCGCGCCTTGTCGGTTATTCGCGTATTGTACTCTCAGCGTTTTCCGATACGCGGAATTTATTGATTCCCACGATCCACCGACGAGCACCGAGGAGGCTCCTCTAGCCTGAGGGGAATTTTAAAACCGCAGTGGAACGTGCAGCCTAAACTCCTCTATACCCTAGATATTACACGCGATCCCCGTCAAAGAACCCGTTAAACTCGAAACGCAAGAAGAATCTCAAAAAATATCCCAACTACTATTCATTCCAAATCTGTACCAATTTTTTACTGTCTGAAATTATTCAATCGATATTTATGCGCGTGTTTAGAGATTCCTAAATAAATTTACAATCTATCGTTGTTTTTAAAAGAGCGTGGATGCTCTAAATGTGACTATCCAAGGCGCCCATTAATAATATTCATCTTTAAAAGAAAGTCTGTAGGACTCTTCTACTCACAAACACATACATTCAATCTCATAATTACTCGTACCCTCCATGTCTATATGAAGAAACTTGTTCAAATTAAATGGTAGATTTGATGTTTCCAAGTGTATCCTTGTATAAACATGTTGGTATATACAAAAAGATATATATATATAAAAGAAGTTTCACAAAATCAAATAATAGTTTTGATATTACCAAATGAATTTGTTACACATGTATATGAATAACCTTATACATGTACACGTTCATATGAAGATAATTTATACATGTATACATTTATACAAAGATATAAATTTATATATGTATAAGCTTTATATACATATGTATAATGAAAAATTAATTTGGTGATATAAAAATTATTATTTAAATTTATATGAAGATAATTGATACATGTACAAGCTTATTCATATACATATTTATAATGAAAAATTCATTTATAAAATATAAAATAATATAAAACTTATTATTTATTTTCGCCATACTTCTTATTAAAGACTTCTTATAATAGACACAGAGGGTATTATTTATGATATTGTCTCTCCTTAAACAAATTAAACACTAACACCTGAACACCTTTCGTTGCCACCGAAGAGCGTTTCTGTTCTTATCCGGGATAGAATGAACAGTCAAGTAACTTACGTGGTAAGATTTACGTGGTAAGATTTACGTGGTAAACAAGGTTCTGATACCGTGTCGCCCTTCATTAGGAGGGTAACAGTCGCTAACTGGATGTCACTAGATTCGCCAAATCAGCTTTCCAATCGAACCGTAACGAGAGCTTTATCAAGCGATGAAAGCTAAATGTCGATATTTGACTTTCTCGGTTTTGCGAAGTCGGTGCCGATAATTATGCTAATAGATACAAGCGGTTCGCGATAATCGTTTCCAGATAATGCAACCGGAGGAACTTCTTTTCTGCGAGTTCGCCCGGGAACTTTCTTTTCTCCCAAGTTGTTAGGATAGTTTGCTCCGGATTCTGTCCATTGGCAACCTCTGAAAAGCTTCGGGTTTGGACGCCGACTTTTCCGTTTTCTTGCTTTCGAGTTCTGCTTTCTATTTTAACTCTAGGAGAATCTCTCAGGTCTTGACCCTTTTTTCGCATTATTTATTTAACTCGCTTTCTTCGGTTATGTAGTCGATTCGAGTGGGCCACGAATGACTTAATTTAATTATAGACGCCTTAATCAGGTCAATAAGTGACTTATTGCAACGAGTCTGCGAATAACGGAAAGAGGGCACTTGGATGAAATTAGATTCGGTGAACTTTAAAACTCTCGATGAAAGAATTCCAACACAGAAAAATAATTAACAAATTGTATTTTTGTAAGTTCATCAAAAATCGAGTATTCTTCGAGAAGACAACACGGTAACTGCCTTTTAAGAAAGGTGTTTCAAGCACCAAGAAAGGAGTGAAAATAAGTTGATCAAAGGGCCCCGACCTAACCCAGACGCGTTTAAGGGGGTATCCCGAATTAGGAGATCTAAAAAAAAGCGGTTTTTCGTGAATTTTTGTAGGATGGAAAAAAATAATTAATTCTATCAAACTTTTTATCCTATTTTCATACATATTTGAGTAGTCTGTACAACTTTTTTCAACAAGAAATATTCAAATTTAGTCGACTGTAACGCAAATTCGTAGATCAGCTTACAGTTAAAACCTCCTATCGGCGGGAAAGATGCAGGTCGTAATTTTGGTTTGACACAAAACAAAACCAAAAGAAATTTTCATTTTCATGCATTTTTCTTCTATGTGAACCAAGAAAAACCCGCAAAACGGTGAAATGTGAAATTACTGCAAGTTTGAAGAAAAGAACGAGTTCCTGGGGTGAAAAAAATCACTTTAACTTGATAAAAAAGTTGTTTAAAATTTTGTTTGTTTCAATTTTCTTAGTTCGCATAGAAGAAAAATGTATGAAAATGAAAATTTCTCTTCGTTTTTTTTTTTTTTTTTGTGTCAAACCAAAATTACGACCTGCATCTTTCCCGCCGATAGGAGGGTTTAATTGTGAGGTGCTCTACAAATGTTCGTCACAGTCGACTAAATTTGAATATTTCTTGTTGAAAAAATTTTGTACAGACTACTCAGATACGTATGAAAATAGGATAAATAGTTCGATAAATTTAATTATTTTTTTCCATCCTAAACAAATTCATGAGAAACCGCTTTTTTTAGACCTCCTAATTCAGGATACTCCCTTAAACGAGTGCCTTCCGTTCCTTTCTTAGCGCGGAGATTCAACTGTCCGTTAGACGTCTCGGTAGCTTTCTTTCTTTCCAATGTTTTTCTTTTCCACAAGAAAGGAGAAACGGAATAGCAAACACCGGGGCACGATCGATAACCAGCATACGGACAGAGGGGAGTCGTCGATTTAATAGTAATTACCAGCTTTCATCGTTGTTCCCCGAGACAAACGATCGTTGACACGGTAGGGAGCAACTGTTCGCGTCACACTTCTCCGCCTGCGGAATTTCTTATTTCCTTTCCGACGTCTATACTTAACCGTCCAACGTCGAGTCATAGGCGAGTAAGCATCGAAGCGAATTGCCACGTAAAAGTGGTCGGCCGGTTCCGTCCACGGAGTTGCAAATTAAATACCTCGCTTTGTTTCCGGACAGCGATTTTCCAGAAGTCGGAATCGCTTCAGTCAAATATAAACCGTACACCCCATAGAAATTAGTGAAAGGATCAAAATTCAAGCATAATTACAGCATTCCCAAAACAAGTCGATTTAGAGAAATTTCTTACGTGGAAACTGTGCAATGTAAGTTCGTGTTATAAAAAATATGACGAGGTTATTTTGTAATATTTCTCAATTCAAATTTTATGGGATATACTTGGAAGCATGTGCATTCGTTTATTTAAATTGGGACTTTTCTCATGGCGTAGATTCTCGCGTTAGAAAACAAGCATCTACTCGTTTGGGCCAGGTGTTGAATTAGTTGCACTTCTAACCAGTTAAAAAGCATCTTTATTTGAATTGTATACCTTGTACATAGTTTCCATTTATTTTATTACGAAAATCCAACGTAGGGAATAAAATAATTATCATATTATAAATTGGCGAATTCAAATATTTAAATTGAGACTTTTCTCGCGGTGTAGTTCTCACGTTAGAAATTTACAAGTGTCTACTCGTTTGGGCCAGGTGTTGAATTAGTTGCACTTCTAACCAGTTCAAAAGCATCTTTATTTGAATCGTGTACCTTGTACATAATTTCCATTTGGTTTATTACAAAAATCCAACGTAAGTAATCAACAAAATAACGAACGAAATAATTATCGTATAATAACTGGCGAATTCAAGTGTGATTGTTGGATTTTGCCAGACACTTTCATTGACCAACTGGTGTCGTGTGTTTCAGGGAGAGTGAGGCGCGGCAACGCAAAGGGAAATCACGATCGACGCGCACATCCGAACTGATGCAAGCGTAAATGCTTCGTGCACTTTCGGCGTGGAAACATTCGTCCGATTGATAGAGGCCCGGGTCGGTTTGACTTCGGGAACGAGCCTAACGAGTGGCCTCCCATCCACCGATATCTGTAAGACATCATTTAGAGCAATACTTTTACCTCGAACTTGTATTAACGTGCTTGATTCTCGCGTAGGTGCGTAAAAAGACACAACTTTTCCTTTTCGATGGCTATAAATGGACTTGAGTCACTCTCAAAATAAATATGTTTGTCATTCTATTTACCAGTTAATTTCTTTGTAACAAAAGAGATTCTTCGTTGAGCTTCATTTTTTGAACATAAAGTATTTTATCAGTAATGTAAAGTACTCGTCAATGAAGTACCCCAATCGAAGGACTTATCGATTTATTACGATTTATCCACGTTACCAACAGAATCTAGTGAATTTTATCGATCTAGTGAATTCTACTTTAACACGTTCACGCCGGTGCTGTGATTCGTGTTTCTCGCCATGAGGCGGCGCGATGGTACACGCCATTTGATAGCCACGCGAGCGCGAATCACCGGTGATGCACGCCACCCGCTGGGACATATAAGTATGTACCACCGGTGGGTCACACTCATATAAAATACGAATTCGATATTCAAGGCAGCAATTTATCCTCGCAATGCTTTCGAAACCTAACTTCCACTCCTTTCAGTTTTCCCTGAAATTATTGGGACAAAGTAGCTTAACAGGAAACGCAAATTGCCAAAGCCACGAACCGGTCGCAATTTTGAAACGTAATTTTCCGCGCTGTTTAGTCGAACGATCATTGATTAGTCCAGACGTCGTGGGAATGTGAAAAGTGTCGGTATGCTAATCTGGTTGCAAGCGATTCGACTCGAGTCACGTATCGCTCGACTCTACAGTGTGTATCGAGCAATTAAGGCTATTTTGTATCAAGATCTTTTTCTTCAGGCTCGCTAATTAGTCGATACCCCACGCTGAGCTCTCTATCATCCTCGTGTATGTTTTCTCCTATATTTCTCTCGGACGAAATATATTAGTTTATCTATCATATCATAGTACTATCATTGGTTGATATATACCTCTTGAAGAGACTAAGAGTTCGATCGCCGAGTTTCATATATTCTTTGACAGAGCGAAACAACGAGGTATGTCGGTGAAACAATCTAATTCAACGATGAAACTTTATTATTATCATTAACTTTTTTTTTTTTTGTAAAACTTTTACCATCATACTCCTGACATTTTTCTAATTAAAATGAGACCAAAGACGGTATAATTCGGACGATATTTACCATTCATCTTTTTTTAGTTAGTGTTCTACGATATACGATACATAGTTGTTAGATACATAAGTCGTTACAAGTAAATACGTTGCGAATTATGTCGTGTTTGGTCTCATCTTAATCAGAAAAATGTAAAGAATATTTCAAATAAAAGTTTTACGGCATAAAAGTTAATAATAAGAAAGGTGCACCGATGCATTACATTGTTTCACCGACATGCCTCGTTGTTTTCGTTCCGTCCTCTTCTTTATCCACTGTCCTTTTCTACGTTCGTCGGACGTCGGCGAACATCAAAGAATACACGAACTGTACGATAACTGCACAAGGTCAGTCCCGAGCTTGTGCGTTTAACGAGACATTACTGTACCTCACTATCCAAAATCAACGTATTACAGGGTAGAAAAGCAGTTTCAAAAGTGAGATCGTGTTAGAGGGGATCTCTAAATGCTAACGACTCCCCCAATTGGAGGACAAAGATCGCAGAGGTCCCATTGCGAAGTGGATCGTTGATCGCAGGAAACAAAGCCCTGTGTCCTGACTCGGTCTTCCAATTGTCCCGTTTAACCGCGATCCTTCGTCGGCCGACTATGGTCCCCCGATCCTCCTGACGTTGAACTAATGTTCCAGTGGCGGTGGGATCACGGTGAACCACAGCAACGGGTCCAGGCTGTTCCAGAGTCGGTGGGTCTACCAGATTCGCGCATGCTTCAGCAACGAGGCGGTTCATCCACGACACCTCCCGCGACGTCATCGTCCAACATGTTCCCCCAACAGTATTGTCTACGATGGAAGTACCATCACAGCAACCTACAGACCATGTTCTCACAGTTGCTGGAGCGGCAAGCGTACTGCGACGTCACTCTGGCCTGCGAGGGCAAGACTCTGAGAGCGCACAAGGTAAGGATAAATCCATTTTTTTAGCTAAGTAATAGAAGGCGTGATCCGTACGAGATCGTTGGTAGCTCGAACTTTAACACGTTGACAAAGGAAATAATACTTGTGAATAATACGAGTCTCTTTTTATTTAATTGGAATTTATTTTTATTGAATTTAAACTTGTACTTATTTTCGGGACTTTTCCAAATTCACAAATTCTGAGCAGATTTATTTTGTTTAACTTCAGAATTAATTTATTTAGTTCTTTAGTGAAAAATCCTGTCACTCGTGTATGAATGACGTGGCCTTTCAACGTGTTAAGGGACACTCGTGTTAGGAGAAGGTACTTTGTTTATAAGAACGAGCAGGCTATCGTTACAACAAAACCTGATGTTCATATAGCAAAGAATGCTATAGGGAATTGTGGTTGTGAAAGAAAGGATTATTTTTATTATATTTATTTGGAAAGTCCATGCCAATTTTTAGTAAAACAAATGACATGTGTACATCCCTTAAAAAGTGGAAAGCTTGGCGAACAACATTTATTTGAAAACATCGAACTCATCATTTAATTTGGACAAATTCCTTTAATAGACATAGAGGGTACGAATACGAATCAGTGTAATAAATATTCGTACAAGAATCAATTCAAACTGAAACTTCATATATTTATTTTATTAATAAATTTTAGGAGAAGAAATAATTACCCAACTTTACTTACTTTTAATGTTAACCCTTTCTTTTCTCAAGTACATACTTCAAATGTGCCATTGAATTTTTCTTAAAAATCGACACGAACTTTTTGTACAACCAAATAACTCACCTAGTCTTTGAACGATTTTAGAATAGAGTTATCACAAACAAATTCCCGTATTTTAATAAAAAGGCCCGCGAGTATTTTGTCGAACGCAGGCGAAGCAATTTCCCGCGAATAATTTCGCGCGTTATCAAGACTGCACGACGAAAATAAAAATGTAAATCGGTATTTTCGAGGCGACAAACACGAGTGCCCTCTTAAGGGCCGTTGCTTTAACCAACGGGGATCACTAAACGGTGAAACTTTAACGAAGCCTCCGACGGCCGCGGCAAATTAAATTACAGATTTCGCTCGGGCGAAGGTTTACATCGATTGGCCCCTTCATTTTCTATGACGCATTTCCGTACACCGAGACTTCTATTTTCAGCGAATAAACGACGGGGCTGACGAGAGAAGTAGAGAGAGAGAGAGAGAGAGAGAGAGAGAGAGAGAGAGAGAGAGAGAGTCCCGTTGATTCGATTCCGCATCGAAAAGACCAAGCAATCTCGATCGTTTATTTTTCAGTGAAAAACGGTTAACCGTTTTGCTACGTCGCCGCTGTGTCCACCGTGTCGAACAAATAGCGCAACGTTTGACAAAAAAGCACACGTGGTCCCGGTCGTCGGCGGGCTGAAAACGCGCGCCGGAGAGCAACGAGCGTCACTTTCATTCGGATTTCCGTCGGCGTTTCGAGTCGAAAGAGTAATTGCAGCGGGGGCGACGTTGACCCTTTAACCGACGCTCTGCCCTACGCTGAGCCCGATAGTTGCCTATTCGCTTTAAAATCCCTTTCCCTCGCGCTCGCGCCGTTTCAGTTCCCTTTCGCGCTTTGAAAATTTGTTTAGAGGCCGCTTGCTCGTTCAGTCCGCGTCGCTTAACGCGTTACACGCGGATTGTGTTATCGACGAGACGCGTGCTATTTCGTTTTCACTTTCCGTCCACCTGGACACCAGTTTCTCTGCTTTTCTCCGCGTAAATCCCTCCACGCTCACGGTTTCTCTGCGCTAACCATTTTATTGCTTTTACTTGGCCCGCGGATTACACCGCGTTTAGTGGCGTCTCTGGATCCGCGGTATGATTTCATTTGGATATTTCAGGTGGATTTTTTTAGGACGCCTTGGAATGCATCATTTGTTCACTTCGTTTACCGCGATGCGCAGTCAGTCTCATAAGTATTCGTACTGTTTACGTGTATTAAAGAAATTTGTCTAAATTAAATGAGTTTCATGTTTCCAAATAAATGTTTCATTATCAATATTTACACGAACAAACTTTTCGCATATACATGCATATGTTTCAATTCCTATTTAGATTCAGTTCTTGTAGGCACGTTCGCGAAGATTTTATTTTGCACAAAGACCCGCAGTCTATTCGTTATATTTTATTCTGAAAATATTATAACATGATCTTTACTTTTAATCTTTTTTATATTGAATTAGATTGACTCTTTGAAGTCACGGTTACACATTAGCTAGATGATTTCCCATTTGTTACTATTTTTTCTAAAATTTGGTCTTGCTATTTTCCTGGCAGCCTTAGAGTTAGATTAAATCAGGGATGGCGCACGCGTGAATACTAATAGCTAAATTAGGATGACTAAGGGTAGGAAACCCTCAGGTGCCTTATAGTACAGGTCTGAATTAAGATTACTATCTAAAACTTTGCTATAAAAACCCGCATTATTTTCAAGTTCGGAAATTGCATAAACTAGTAAAAGTGTAGATACATGTATACTCGTGATCGGTTTCTTAAAATTTACACTTTCAATTTCAATCTTGTCAAAGTGAAAGACGGACTTAACACATTGTTGATCGCCAATTTTACGCAGAAGCGATTTCATATCACCGGCTATTATTTCACAATTGAATATAAAAATAAAACAACCCAAATAAACTCCAATAAACTTTATTTATATTTTACTAACATAAGGAAACGAAATCAAATATCGTACATACGTATCTCTGAAATAACTATACAATTTTCTTAAATAACTACACAATTTTTGTTTATATCGTCCTGGGTTTCATAAATTCAAATAATGCAAGTGCAAACCCGAGATTACTCGTGACCGGTCGACAATGTGTTAAGAGCTGGTAGGACTCACGAGTTGGTTAATAATCAATGGCTGACCTGAACGATCTCGCAAATCGTCTCGTCGAGTACCAAGGTTTCCCGTTTCTCGAAAAACCCTCTCTAAACGCGTTTCCCCGTAATTAAGCTTCGTCCCCTGTCGGTAAAAAGCCAGCAAGAGCAGACGACAACACAGACGACCAAGGCGATCCCCGTCCTGGTTCCATTGACTTCCACGACGTCCCTCCTCTCCGGCCCCCTTTTTTCTCGTACACGTGTCTCTATCGCAGCCCGCCCAGACTCGTTCAACCCCTTTTTCCTCCGACGGGTTTTCCGCGTTGCCTACCTTCTTCCTCGCGGCGGTGCCTGATTCTCGGTCCTCGATTCGTCTTATTGCTCGTTGCCAACCCCCGAAGAGACGCGAGGCCGCCAGGGTTTAGAGGATAGACTCTTTCGAAGACAGTCCGAGCGAGCGAGGACGTCGTTCATGAAACTGATCGCCTGGAATGCGTCAAATGTTTATGTAGCATAGGCTTTGAAAGTTTGAGCGTTGGTTGAACGATGTGGAAGTTGTTGGAAGGGGAGGAAGGACGATAAGGAACCGGTAGTTGATTAATAGCATCCCCTTATTGAAGACACCTAGGACCCACCAAATAATACAAATTCTATGAGAAAGGAGGACGCTTAGGCTCAGAAGATTCCAATTAAAAATCGTTTTGTGCCAAATGGTAAACATTCTGACAAGTCTGTCCTAGCCTAGCACTTCTCTATCCTCACTTTATGATTAATAACATCTCCTTGTTGAAGACACCTAGGACCCATCAAATAATACAAATTCTATTAGGAAGGAGGCTTAGAACATTCTATTAAAAAATCGTCTTCTGTCAAATGGTAAACATTCTGACAAGCCTGTCATAGCCTAGCACTTCTCTATCCTCATTCTATGATTAATAGCATCCCCTTGTTCAAGACACTTACTGACCATCAAATAATTCAAATTCTAACAACCCCAATTCAGGCTGGTTGACGTGATGAAGATAAAGGAAAGAGTCACGTTAATAAGGAACTAGATGTATTTTTTAATTAATTTCTTTGCTTACAATGTCATGTCAGGGACGTGTGAATCTAAAGTAATTTAACACGTTCACGCCGACGTGTAACACCGGTGGCTCGTTATCGTGGTACCTGTTATCGTTTATGGCACGCGTTATTGGAAATTAAATCGTAAGGCAAAGGGTTAAACGGTTGAAGAGCGTACGAAAATCGCAATTGGCCTCTTCGCTTAGGTGTCGAGGCTAGGACTGCGTCCGCCAAACTGAATTTTTATTTTCTGAAGTTTTATTTTCCTGGTCGTTGCCCCAGTTACCATATTGACATGGCCTTGTTCTTGGGTTGTCCCGTGATTGTCTCATTCATCTCAAATGTGAAAGATTGGACAACGGACAAGAAAAATCGCTAAGAATTATTGCCACAAACCATCGTTGGGTTTTCCCTGGCCTTTACGTACATCCTCGCGAAATATCTACCCTTGGCCTCAGGGGCTGTAGCTATCTATAATCACGGCTACAGTACGGGCTTAGCAACCCCGAGGTACCCGAGCTATAGGGAGGCCAGCGGGCCCCAATAGATGAAAAGTAAGAGATACTGCAGTATTAACCCTTTCCCGTGCCATTCAGCACTCGCAATGTTCATGTTTGGCCCAAGTATCTCATCGCGAGTCTGACTCGCTAAAGTACAGGAAGGAGTTAAAAGAACGCAGGAGTCGCGTAAGACGACGATAAGAATAATAGAAATAAGCTACTAATAACTAGACTGCGGATCTCAATGCAGAGTAAAATATTCGCGAACGTGCTTATAAAAATTGAACCTAAATAGAAATTTATTTTATTCTGCAAATATTATAACATGAACTTTACTTTCAATCTTTTCTATATTCTTGGATATTGTTTGCATTTTGTAGTTTCATGCACATTCAAATCTTTTTATACATACATAAAGATTCGCAGTCTAGTAATAAGTAAGTGCAGCAGTGCAGTAACTTTGTATAATAAGTTACGCACTTTAAATAAATGAATTAATGAAACATCAACCCGAACAATCTTGCGTTTCAAACGAGACGATACGCAGAGGTCCATTTTGAAATTGCGACCAGCATCATCGCGACCCCTGTTTCGACCCCTGTTTTCCACCGTTGCTTTTTTCGTGCCTGCATAGACTTTCTTCGATTCTTCTTATTTCGCGTCGCCGGTACGCGACAGAGACGAGAAGGGGGGCTCGAACCGGAAACGGAGATGCGCGACGGGGAGTCGAGGGGGTCGGCGGAGAGGAGAGGAGAGGAGAGGAGGAGAGGACGGGATACAGACCACCCTCGCCCCGGGGAACATAAAACTTAACAAACGATCAATTTTCTGTTCTTTGTTTCTTAACAGGCTGAAACTACGGTATTTCGCCACTCTCTCCACCCTACCTCGGGCGTTCTTCGGCCTCGGTCGACTCTGCCTCCCTCCACCCTTACTTTTCCACCCTATCTTTTCCCTCTGGCTTCGGCTGGGCAGCTTCGCCCTCTTCGCCCTCTCACTTTCCCTGGCAATCCGCTATCTTCTTCTTTTCTTTCCCTCCCACTCTGTCTGTCGAGACTGTTTCCAAACCCCACCCAGAGGCTGCCAGCGGCCGCCAACACCCCTTCGTCCCACGCACCCCTCTCCGGCGCCCCCTGCCCCTTCGCCGCAACCCTCCCTCGAGCCCCTCCATGTTTCCCTTTTTGTATCTTCGTCTCGGCCGTGCGTCGAAACGAGCCGCGCAGAGGAGAGAGGCACTCTATCAAAGTAGAGTACGTTTGGCTTGGTTTATTTTTTACTTTGGGAGGGGTCCAAATTGTAAAATCAATACTTCCTCCTAAATTTAGAATGCCGCCACCGGGCGACGCCGACGCCGCGCGGCCTTTTTCCAACCCGGTTCCTCTTCCTTTTCGGCCTCCGCGGGGGATCAGCTCCCGCGACGCCCGCGCGGGAAAACCCGATGAACGAGCGCGAGGGATGATCGCGACGCCGCCGCGTCATCGCGCCTGGGAAACAAAAGGCGCGTCGCGACGCCTCGCTGCTACCTGTGGCCGCTCGATTCTCCCCGCGAATTAAATTGCCGCTGCCTCTTTTTCCTTTTTTTTTTTTCGATTACCCTCCTCTCGAACCCCTCCACCCTGCGTCGTATCCTTTTAACCTTTCGCTTACATTTTTTCCCCACAATTTTGAACGAAATCGACGACTCGATCGATTCCTGCTGGATGAACTAGGAAAATTGTCTACTTTGCGCTGGTCGAGTCGAGCATGGAATCCACCCTCTGTTTCTCTTTACACCGAAGTTCTGTATCAACCCTTGACAAGGATAAACCGAGTAACATGCATAATTCCGCTAGAAAAAATCGTAGTGACTTTGATTTTTGTTTAATTCGTGTAGAAGAGTTCACACTCTGCAGCAATTTTTGTGAAGTTTGCGAGAAACGTTCATTGCACCCCGTGGAGTGCATCAAAGTACCCCAACTATTTAAAACAAAACATCACCTCGTTTGAAATAAGATGGCGGGAAGGGGGAAATAAAAATATGACAAATTCTGTTCAAAGTAGAGACCTCAAACTTTTGAAACAAACAAAAAATTTACCCGATACGATCAATTTTCGCGAAGTTATGATTACTTAAGGTCGAGTGAAATTTCAATAAAAATGTCTGTTGCTCGGTGTATTAACCCTTCACGCAGCAAATCCACAATACCTAATGTTTCTTGAGGTTTAATTTCTTTAATTTCTCGAAGTGTCACTAAAATGATTGTCGGTGAAGTAAAGGTGACCTTATTTTTAAATCTAGATAGCTTAGAATTCATGGCAATAGAATGCTAAGAAACATCTCGAGTTGCTGTTAGATACCAGAAAAAAAGGCCTCGAGTGCAAAGGGTTGAATACTCTCAGGAAGGTGAAAAAATACTGTCAGAAAGTACACGTAAACAATATTTCTTTCGATTCGTCGTTTTCTACACATTCCTTGCATGCAATATTTTTTTTCCGAACGCTTTTTACAAATGTATAACGCGTATGTTACGGATCAAGTTACGATGTAAATGCATGACTCGGCACTCTCGAA